ACAACTGCTGGCACCTCTAGAGGGTGCTTCTCTTGCAGCCTAGAGAGCCACTGCTGCTTTCAGAGAGTGCAAGAGATGTACCTTCTTTCAGACAAATTTTATGTCTTACTCTGATAACTGGGCACCCCCTCCTCTGACAATTAGAAGATTCTTTTTTTTAACATGGGAAAAGCATTGTTTTGCCTAACATGTTCCCTTCTGCATTCTCCATCCCTACATAAGGGTGAGGCAAACCAAAGAAATTAAATTTCAGGCTGAAATGCTGAGATGTGGCAAAGTTATAAGAAACTGACTCTGGCAGCCTAATGCTCAGAACCACTGTTTGTAGGCTACACCATGGTCTCGTTCTTAAACTATGTTGTAAAGTGAAATTCCAAGGTAAGGTCAGGTTGTAAATGTACCAGGTAAGAAGAGGTGATTGACATAACACAATGACATCTGAAGAGAAAGATACATCCAGAGGTAGAAATTGATGTAATTTATTGCTGACATGACTCTCACTTGTCTCTCTGTCTTTCTCCCTTTTAATGTGTTCAGTTTTGGGCTCAGAAATGAATAAAAATTAGTTTCATAAAATTCCCCAACTGAGATGCAAAGTATTTGGAAATGATTTTAAAGTATACCATGCAGCTGAAATGTCATCATTAATTTTAATCTGCAGCATGCGTGTAATGTCCTCGGGCTATTTCAACGGTGCAGAAGATTGTAATCATTCACCTGTTAAAGTAAATGCAGCTTTAACAGGTCTGATTACAGCTAAAAAGCAGGAATGGAGAGGACAGGTAGACAGATGGTGTTTCAGTATGTCATCTGTGAACGATGCCTTGGTAACTCTTTGGGAGGAATTATCTGGCTATAAAGAAAAAAAAAGGCTGTAATATAAAGTGGACTGGTTCTTGTAATAGCAACTTTTTCTAGGCTTTCCTTTGACAAAGTTTTTCAAGAGAAAGTATTGAAACAGAGGCTGTGTTAGTGCAGTTCCCAGCGGGTATAACATATCCTTCCTTATGGAGGCAAAAAAAAAAAAAGTGAGATGTCACAAAAATGTCATTAGTGGTGACCAGATCACTCTTTCATAAGCGCTGTCTGGTATTGTCCTTACAGCAATGTCTCTTTTCTGCTTCCCTTCACCAGCATTTTGGTATTTTTTGCCCATGATCAAAAATGTATAGAGGCTCATTCACCAAGATTTTAATTAATGATTGTTCTTGTCCCCTGAGCTTCACTGACAGGAGAGAGGAGCTTTGCTGTTGTGAGCGAGGCTGTGTCTGTCCTTGGAACCAGTGAAGGAACTGGGGAGCCCTTCAGTCAATCTTTACTTGGGTGTCATGAGCTGGTCCTCCTCCAAGATGTGTTGGTACATCAGTGTCACTGAGAGTGCTCCCTGAGCTCACACCACATATAGGAACACTGTGTCTCTCTAGGAGCTTTTTTTTTCTGCCCTGAAGAGAGTAAAATGTAGAAAATTGAGCTGTCCTCTTAGGTTAGCTGGAAAATTTCTCATTTCCTGAGACTTAAGCTTCAGTAAATGAACTTTTTCACCGGCTTTTTACCAGTGTTACATGCTTTACTCTTTGGAAGGTAATGTCCTCTGCAATCTCAATTTTAATTTGTGTATTTAATTTTTCTTTTAAGAAAAACACCTTGATCTTCCTTCAGCCCACTGATCTTAGTTCATGTGAGATAGATTAAATCATAAAAACCTTTCCCATGGGAGACTTTTGCCCATGTAGCAGTAAACTTCACCCAAAATCATATCACATGTAAATGGAAGGTAAAAAACTCTTTGAAGTGGTAATGAAGTAAGTACCTCCTGCACGACAGAAAGTTTTGATTAGATCACATTCATTGGGAGCGTACTTATCGGAAGAGCTGTGATTCATTTGGTGGAGACCAAGGTCCCAATGGAAAGTAGTTCAATGGGAAGATCTAGCTGTTCAACCTCTTAAAATGCACCTTCCTTCCTTTGTGCATTGCCTTTGAAGAGGCAGATGTGGATGTCCAGGTCATCATCTCCCATTTACACAGTGTCTTGCTTTTCTGCCGGCTTCAGAGCCAATAACAGATGATGATGATGAGTTTTTCAACTTCAGCACAGTAAAATTCCTCAAACATTTCAGTCTTTCCTTCTCTGGGAAAAACATGAACATCTGCTGGGAGAGTGGAGAGCTCTCACTTGTCCTTCATGAGGCTGTGATAACAATGTCATTCTCTTCCCATTCTCCACACTGTGCTCAAAGCATCCATCTTCTCAAATTCTTGTTCCTTTTTCAGAACTGCATGGGCTTTTAATCTGAACTATCCTTTGTGCTTTCCTTGTGCTCAGCTGAAATACTTTACAGTGTAATATTTTGAAAAATGCAGGATAGCTGCCTATCTTGTTTCTCACCATATTTCAATACCGAATATTATTTTATCTGACCTCTATTTTTCAATTCATTTTGCTTAGCAAACCTTTCTGGCGGAGTGCTGGGAGCCAACAGACAGCTCAGAGTCAGAGCAGCACCACAGCCCCTCAACCTCTTCAACTCATGCAATTTCTTGTGTAGAGAAAACAATGAAAGAAACAACAAATACTGGCTTTCCAGACAACCGTGCTATTTGTGGAAAAATCAGATTTTAAAGGGACTGAAGCAATTGTGAAAAATTTCTTTTGGGAAAACTAAGAATCAAGCAAGGGTAGTAGAATCATAGAATCATAAAATGGCTTTGATTGGAAGGGACTTTAAACATCCTCTAGTTAATCTAATCATCTAGTTCCAACATGGCCTGACATGGGCAGGGATGCCACCCACTAGACCAGGTTGCTCATATCCTTATGCACAGTGTAGTATTGAAAATAGAAGTCAAGAGAATGAGTTTTAGGTGTGTAGAATCATACTGGTGGATTTGAGACTTGAAAAAAAATCACTGTGGAAAAGGTTAAATACCCACTTCAAAGAGATGGAACAAAACGCCAGGACCTCTCTGGTATTTCCCAGTACATTATGGCCTGTAAAATCCTAATTTCAGTAACCATGTGTTGGCTGGTGTTCTACGTATTTAGGTACAGCAAAGCTCCTTGTGATTTAAAAGAAAAGATTCACATGAACATAATGTTATAAAAAGCTGATGAGACAGGCACACCTCTCAGTCTTTAAGAAGAGATGGTCTGACTGTCTGAGGGCCCTAAAGGGAGACACTGGATTCTCTGAACAAGAACATACATAATATAGTGGCTTAGAGGAATGTGCTTTTATAAAAGGGGGATAAAAGTTGTTTGAAATTGTCACTTCAAACACCACTGAGCATGGTGCTATGGCATGGACAGGAAAGCAGTTCCACATTCTTCCCTCCTCCTGCAGCAGGTTGTTCACATCTCTTCCCAAGGTCCAAATCCCTGATGGACTGTAGTTTGCTGGGGAAAAAAAAGGTGGGGAAACCAGTGATGGCTCTTTTCCTCCTTGGGTTTCTATGAAGTGAGCGTGGCCAGCTGCTTTTCGTGTCTGTCTGGTGGCATACAGAAAGTCTGGGGAAAAGGCTCTCTTGGTAGACATGAAGAGGTGGATGAAGCTGTGCTGGGATTGTGGGGCAGTATCAGGCACATTCCCATACTTGGGAGAGAAGGGCAGTGTCTCAGCTGTGCACAGGGAGCTTGTCCCTGCAGCAGCCCGGATGGGAGGGACTGGCTTTGTGTCCTTCACCTCTGTGTCTAATCACAGTGGGAGTCAAGTGCTGGGGGCAGAGCTCACAAATCTCCACAGGCATTTTGCTCCCAATTTGCTGGGTTGTAGCAGAGTGCCAGCTCTTAACAACTTCCTTCTCGGGCAAATTATACCAGCCACCACTTTGCAAAGGTTGCTGTAATGACTTTTAAACAGGAATTTTTCCAGGAGCCATGACACAGATCATAAGTAATTGCAATCATATGATGTCTGTGTCATTGATGGTTTCTCATATTTTGTAGTAACTGCTATAATGCCATGCATAAGTGGAAAGAAAGACAGTATATTTCTGCTTTCTTAAGAATAAGAATTGATGGTCAAATAGGGAATGTCCTTAAAATCCTGCTGTGTATTCATGTAAATCTATGTAGTGTGAAATAGAAGCATAGAATCACAGAATGTGCTGAGTTACAAGGGATCCAGCAGGATCATTGGGTCCAGCTCCTGGCACAGCACAGGACACCCCAAGAATCACTCCATGTGCCTGAGAGCACAGTCCAAATGCTGCTTGAACTCAGTACAGTCTTTCTTATCTGATACCATCTAAATGAATGTTATACCCATGGAGCGTCTATTAATTGATTCTGAGTTAAATCTTTGGATATTAGTGTAGCAATCTACCATGTAAATCATTCACTGAGTTAGGTTCATGAGAGAAGCTAGAGTGACTTTGGCATGAGTTGTACCTTGTGTTATTAGTCTATGGCTCCTTATTCCCCAAAGACTCTGATTTTCAAAGGAGGAAGATTCCAGACTCGTATGTCTCTTTCAGTATTTGAAAGTTGGGAACGTATGGGCAAAGCAAAGAGTTATTGATTTAACTCCTTTTTGTGGGTATGGCTTTCCAAATAAATTACAATAATGACTTTGCTTCTGTTAATATCTGCATTTAAATGAGTCACAGAACAGTAATGCTACCTGGTAATAATACACCTTCTCTTTTTGCAGGCAAAGTATTTCTGGTGTGTGTCAGTGAAAGGATGTCACTGAAAAAATTTAATAAAAATGCTGAGGAAGAAGTAAAAGCAACACCATTTAACCTAGAATAACTGAATAGTGCTAAAGTAGATCCAGGTCAGACCAATCCCTCTCATCCCAAAAAAACCCAGTAGGTTTAACACTGCATCTAGCCAGTGGGTTTTTCAGCTACCTAGAGCCTTTAGAGGTGAATTTATTTTTAAGGAGAGTTAGCAGATAAGCTAACTTTCACCTAACAGTGTAGTTCTTGTGAAAACTATCAGAAGAAATGAATAATAAATACCTGGTTGTTTTTTTTTTTTCTTTTTTTTCCCACAGGCATCAGGGTTATGTTTATACCTACAGAGTGTCCCAGACAGAAACTGGATCCTGGAGTGCTGAGGTGTGTACTTCTCCTTTCCCTTCTGAAAATTTCTACATCCTGTTTGATATAGATTATAGATTTAATGAAATATTTTCAAATTATTCATGTTTCTGCCTAGTCTGATTTTCATTGATGGTAATCGATCTAGAGTGCATCCATCAGTAAGATGTCTTGGTGCCACTTCTGACAGTCTAGAACTCATAAATTAATTCCCTGTTTCATTTCAGCTGTTGAATAATGCAATAGTGCATCATTTTGCATCATTTAAAATGGCAAAAATATTGTGGTTTTATAATTTGACAAGCACAATCTGTTTCCTTCTATCCTATGTACCATCACTGTCAGAATACTAAATAAATAATTTTCAATGTACAGTGTTTTAATTCATTAATCCAGATTAATTCATCATTAATGCAAAATATAGCCAAAACCTGATATGAAATATATTTTTGCCCATCTGACAAGGGACTGGTAATTTGGGTGCTAAACATTACTTGTAATAACACAGACAACATTTAGGTTGATGAAATTGTGATGTTAATCTCCATCTATTTTATGATTCTTTTTGCTTTGGATGTACTCTGTGTATTAATTCATAATTAGCTTTCTGTTTGTATGTTAATGAACATTTACTTCAAATATTATATAATTTCTAGACAGGCATAATTCCTTGGCCATTACTGTATTAGAAATGATTTTGGAACACAAAACTGATTCTTGGGGTTACTCTGAAGAGATCAGGGGGTGGATATGACTGACATTACTGTGGAGTGGATAATTATCCATGTGACCCTTGGGAACAGTGCCCAGTAATTCCTTCTATAAGACATCAGGAGGTTGATGTAAGGGTTAGGATTTGTAGTGCCCAAGACAGAAGTTTTTCAGGACAGGGTGAGGGTGACAGTGCACCCATCATGCCAGGGTAAGCACTGGCATCTGTGGGAGGATTCCAGGACTCCAGGGACCCCCACCTGTGGAGGGTAATTCCCTGACTGAAGCTGCAGCCTCCTTTAGCCCCAGATGACATCAGCTTCTGCAGTGAGGTTTTTCTGGTGGTACATAGACCTGCTACAATGTCTGGTCTTTACCTCCACTGGCACTCTGTGTGTGGCTTTTGGGCTTTCCCTGGCTGTATTTTAGGCAAACCTTACCTGAATTTCACGCCCTAGGTGTGCTGAAGGCCCAGGCTTTGCCATACATCCTCTGCAGGAGAAGGTCCTAGCTACAGATCCGTGATACCAACTCTTTCCTTAAAGAACAGAAACCATGAAGTAAATGGTGCTAAGACCATGCTGGCTTCAGCTGTTAGATGCAGCAGCCTAGGTCCAACTGATCCTCACAGAGTGTGCCTGCAAGGCCAAAACAGACTCCAGAGGCAGCTGGTCCTTTCCTGCTTCTGCTTCCTTCCCTGTGGCTGGTTAGTCCGAACAAGCTCAGGTCACACCCACCTTTCAAGGATGAGGCAGGGAATTTAAAACAGTGCTGGTGAAATCCCAGCCAGTGTGAAGACTCCAGCTGGTGCCAGGGAGGCTGGATTTAACTCACAGCTGCTGGGTGAGAGCAGTGTCCCTTGAGTGGGACTATGCTGGCAGGACCCATGCTTGTCCTCCCTTGACTTTGGTGAAAAGGAGTTATTATGCCCTGAAGAATTTAACACAAACATTGGATTTTTGATTAAAAGCACACATAATTTCATTTAATACTGTTTGAAAAGTTGCTAATATACAGACAGACTCTCACTTTTAATAAATAGGTAACATTTGGCTGCTGTCTTTGTGCAAGAAGTAGACAGGAATACTCAATGAACACATAAGCCAGCATTGAATGCTCCAAGAAGGGTTTGCAAAGAGGCTGTGTCCTTGCTGGAATTTAGTGGTGTGAGGACTCCCTGTCTGTGGTGAGCCCAGGTTACTCTCTAGATTTTCTCACTGGTGTTTCTAGGATGAAACTATCTACCTGATACAGGCTAGAAAGTTATTGGTAAGGATGTTAAATCACTGGCTGCAATAAGTGAGTCAGAAATAGCAAAGGGTCACTTGTAAGTCTGCCTAATTAGTGTGGTAGGTGAATGTGGGTAATTAGTGTGGGTTTTTCTTGTAGTGATTAAGAATTTGTGCCTCTTCCACCTTTCTATCACCATGCTGCTGGGAACTGCTCATTGTAGGAAGGCTGGGGTGCCCTGGGGAAAGCAGAGAGCAGTGTGGTTCATTGACTCACCTGGAACTGGCACATCAGGGCATCCACATCCATGGCTGGCTCCTGCCCTGGGAGCTGTGTGCATTTCTGGGGACAAGGCCTGTGTGCCAGCACAGGGTACCCAGCACCCCTTCTCACCTGTCCCCCTCTGGCTTTGCAGACAGCGCCTGGGGTCCACCGGAGGCTCTTTCGGAAGGTGCACAACCTCATTTCGGCCTTCCAGAAACCCAACCAAGGCATTGTAACACCCCTGCAGAACCCAGTTGTCAACCACGTGAAAGCCAACTACTCCCCAGGTACTGGTGGGGGGAGGAAACCTTGGCTGCAGCTGAGCAGAGCCCTCCACAGTGACAGGGACAGAGTCTTAGATTTGTATATTTGACCTGAACTAGCCAGCAGAGTGACATTGCCAAACATGTGCCCTAACTTGGCTGTCATGTAATTTGAAATGCTGTCACTCAGGTGCTCATTACAGACAGGGCCTGTCAATATGATAAGATAATGGATTTTGAATATGTATTCCTGAGTGCTAGGGCAGCAATGGCTGCCTTCTCTCACCACCACCCTCACTCATGGAGGTAAGAGCCTTCTGGACTGTCCATTTTCTTACAGTGTTCACCTGTTCAAATGTTTGTGATTATTTCTCTTAGGGAGGAATGAAGGCTATGACTTCCACCTGCAGCCATCATGAGGATGTCTCCCCAAGTGTGACATAACCACATCTTCCAGCGTCTCCTCTAATCTATGCTTTAAAACAGAACGGTGTATATGATAGTAAATACAACTCTGTGAGTTTTCTTGTAACATTTGCAGAAATGTGTATTTCATAGAACTTATTGCTCAAGATGTAGAAGTTTAGATTTCAGAGTACTTTGAGCTTAGGGTGAGATATTTTTTGATTTTGTTTTGGTTTTTCCCAAGAGAGAATAAAAAAGCATGAACTGCTAAATATTTTATGTCTTTTTTTCCCCATTGTCAAATAAAAATATTTTTTCCTTCAAGATCAGTTCTTAATTAATAATTAGTTATTAATTTTACATTGCTTAACTTTGGATCATGCTTTGCTTTGTTCTGGTTGGCATTTATGCAGAATTGGGCAAGTCCCCTTCTATAACCTTAGGAGACTTGTTTACATTAAAGTGTCCTTGCCTTGGATGGGCTGTGTGTTTGTCATTCATACAGTTCCTAAAGATATTCCAGAGATGATACCATGAGGATCCCCACTAACTGATTTCCCATCAAAGCAGTTGCTCTGCCCTCTAACAAAATCTGTAATTTTCACCAATGACCAACAGCATAAGTAATGCACAGAGTAACCATGAACACCCAATGAAGTGGAAAGCCTTGTTTTTTGATTTAGGTGTTCCCTGTACTTGAAACAAGCCATCCTTGCATACAAGTTAAAAAAAAAAATAAATTTAATAACAGTTTTTCTTTTCCTTTCTGTGTGTTTCTATGCTGCTGCTGGGTTTCTGGAGGGAAGTTTTGAATCTAGAGGTCTCGTCAGCTGTGCAGGGTTAGGATGAGGCTACTGGAGAACTCAGAGGATGTGGCTTTTGCACTTGGGGTAGAACAAGTGTGACAGCACTATGCTAATGGACTGGCAGACAGGAGGAAACATTTTTGAACAGACTAGGTGTCCTGTGGCTCTCTTGTTTGAGGAGATGGGGCTGTGTTGCACTGCCGTCCACAGTCCAGACTACCTCTACATGGGTTTTTGCCAGGTAGGTTTGTTTGAGTTTCTGTGGGCTTTGGGAGGAACCCCAGCTAGGGCCCACCCTTGTTTGTGTGCAAAGGGGATGCATCTGGTCCAGATGGTGGTTTGTACCACGACATAAACATTTTGAAGTCCTGAGTACAAAAAGAATGCGAGTCTCACGTGCTCCCTTCCAGAGCAGAAGAATAACAGCGATTACAAACGGACTACAAAAATATATGTAATTACAGAAAAACAACCCTTAAACATTGTATAGGCACCTTTGGGTTGCTCTGGTAATGTTTTATGCCTATACTTGTCTCTTTTGCAGATCTTGGAAGGCTAAAAATATTTCCTAAGAGAGAAAGGCTTTTTCCAGAAATGCCAGGCTGGAGACTCAGGGAGAACATAATTGACTGAATTTCACCAGACTGGCACCTGCAGCTTGGTGGCACAGCAAGAGGCCCCACACCTGCCTTGTTTTCACCTAACTAAAGGCAAGTTGGATGTGAGCAATGACAGAACTAAGTGGGCTGCAAGTCCATGATTCAGCAAGGTGGATGCTCCAAGTAACATTTGATAAGGCTGGAAGGTTTACCTTTTTACCCTGAGTGTGAGTGAGACAGTGCAAGCAATAACAGATTTTCTATGAAGCTCAAGTTTCTTGTAAACCAGCAATAGGAATAAGTGCAATAAATGAACAGCCCCGTCTTAACAGGGACTAGTGGGCAGCAATGTTGCAAAGTTGTGGTTGAGGCATTTTCAGTTCATTACCCAGTTTCTGTCTAATTGAAGGCCAAATTTCATCTATGGTGAACTGTCCCATCATATTTTACACTGCATGTACATGTGTTGCTCTGTGCCTTTTTTGTACATGTGCTTGTTGGTTGAAATTAGTCTTACCTTAATACAGTGCCATACAGTGGCAGATCCAGCATGATTTTCTCTTTAGTAAAATATTTAAGGGCTGTTTTTTTTATCGTTACATAACTCAGCAAATGCACTGGCTGGTTTGCTGTCACTTGTGCCCGTTGAAGCTTTCCCTTCTCCTCCCTGCCTTAAAGGCTTCCCAGCCTGCTGTGAGCCTGCAGCATCTGGTCCCTGGCAGTTCTCTCCAGCTTTGCAAACCACACTTGCCCAAAGCCTGCTGAGCTGCTGGGTGGTGGCAGTGTGTGTGTGCAGCCCCAGCCTTCCCAGGGAGCTCTTCTGCTTTCCAAGTGCTGAATCTAAATCCCTCTTTCACCTGGCCTCTCCTGGGAGCAGGAACAGGTGTGCCTGGAAATCATCCCTGGCAGATGATTGCACAGTGGTAGGGATGCATGCACTGGGAAGAACTTTGCCCAGGGGCTGTTTCCTACTGAACTGTCCTATATTGACTTGAGGCTGAGGCTGCATGTGGAAAACCTGCAGCACACAAGCAGCAGCTGCTCACCCGCTCTGCGGTGCACTGAGCTGAGGATAACTGGTTTGACTGTGGTTGACTCCAGGAGTGCATTGTTCTTCTGAAAAATACATAAAATAGGCCAGAAGATGCCATTTCTGTTTAAAGCTGAGAATGTAGTTTCAGTTTCTGGTGTAAATTATTAAGACATAGGCTTGTATTGTTTCTTTTGGGTACCCAAGGGTCTGGAATTGCTGTAGGCTAAAACAAGGTGGAAACAGAGAGAAGCTGGTGGTGCCTATGAGACAAGAAGTAGATGCTTGGTTATGGGAACAGTAATTTGGAAATTATATTGATTTCCTACAGTGACTTAAGTGTCAAGAGCTGCAGATCCTTTCAGAGAGCAGCAGCTGCATTTTGCTGGTATGACTTCCCACACGATGTCAGTGTCGCCTGCTGCTTCCCTCCCACCATCTCCTTCAGGCTGCAGCCCCACCGGGCCCAGCCCCTCGCTGTGCCCCATTCCCCTGCCAGCCCTGCCAGCCCTGTCCCCTGGCTGCCACAGCCTCAGCTCTGCAGGTGGTTTTGTAGCTCACCGTGTTGCCCCTGTTCTGGCCCTCTCCCCAGCAGAGGCAGTGCTGCTCCCTGCAGCAGCCGAGGCTCCCTCAGCTCTGGCTTTGCCTCCACTGAGCCCTCCCCTGTCCCTGCCTATGGCTGTGACAGCCCTCCTGCAGCACTCAATCAATGCAATAGCCCAGGCTGGTTTTCTTCCCTTTGCTGCTGCAGCACCCACCTTTTTGGAATTGCTTCCTTCTCATCCACCCAGCACAGCCTCAGCCCTCCTGCTTGGTTCTTACCCAGCCCAGCTATTCCATGGTTTTTCACCATGTAACCTTTCCTTTAGCCTTATGCATTCCTTGTGCCCCTCCATTCATGTGCTCCTTCTCTCTGCTGCATGTACTGGGCTTTTAATCTTTTATTTTCCTGGGCACATACTTCTGATAACACAGAATCATTCATCATCATCTATTTGAGGCAGCTCTAAAGAACATGCAGATACTTAAACTTTGCTATTCACACTGCCAGCAACATTGACTTCACCCACACTGTTATGAGGAATGCAAAGGCATTTAACAGAGTATTTTTTCTCTCTCACATTTGCTTTGATGAAATATAATAACCTTTACACAGCAACTGACTGGGATTTCACCTGCAGTGAAACCTGCAGAGTTATAAGCATGAACTTTGGTAAATCAGAATTAAAATTAAATCTTGCTAAGCGACATTCTGCCCCCAACTTTTGAGTCAATCAATATTGGCTGAAGTCCTCATTTAGCTCTATGGAAGTACCTTTTACTGACATGACCAGAATATTTAAAATACTGTTGTAAAGCGATGTAAACAAAGACAACATCACATGACATAAGTTTGCACCTTTATTTTTTAAAAATGAAATAGTCAAAGTACTTTCTTTTTCAAATATCGACACATAATATATTAACTTTCAATATTTACAGTGTGTTGCTGGGATGTTCTTGTAGAAAATGCATGCTTCTGGTCTGAAACCCAGAGCAAAATGCATCAGACCATTTAACTGCAGCCATATAACATAAACCTGTACAGTATCCAGTCACTATTCAGCACAGGAGTTAGAGCAGGAATAAAAAAATTGGGATCTATTGTTTCCTAGCAACGAGGCTGAGGCCATTATAACACAATTTCTGTAAGATCAGAACCTCTAACTGGTGTTAGACAGAAAGTGAAGATCTTGGCATACATTGTAAACATTTTTTACTGTTGATGAGAAAGCTAAAAAGGAACATTACTTTGACATATATTGTATGCTATGCTTCTCGTTCTTGTTTATTGACACTTCTGCCAGAAGAGTATGAAGATTTTAATGTTTTATCATGGTTCATACAAGTAAAATACTGTCAAGGACACAATCTGATATACTAACATTTATTAAAAGGCTAAAGTCCACCACGAGATCTAAGGAAAAACTGGAAATTGTCAAACACGTTTCCTTAGACAAATAATGGCAGGTGACAAATGCCCAGACAAATCCACAGCGAGTCCAACTCCACCATTCCCAGCTTCTGCCTAGAAGTGATTCCTCTGGCAGTCGGGGTGCTTTCAACCTGGTAATGTTTTGTATCGAGGAGAGGTTTAAATAGCAGCCAGCGTTTGATGGGAGAAGCCCTGGGGCTGTTGGTGCAGCCCGAGCCGGGTGTCACCGGGGTGTCACCGCGCCGGATCAGCCGCACCCGGCGAGTGCCCCGGACACACGGACACCCCTGGGCACTGCCTGTCTCCTTCGGCTCGGCTGAACCACGAGCTCCTCTGCCTGAACCACGTTCCCTTTTGGAACAGCACCTTGGCTTCCCACAGCGCCCACCGCCCCCCTCGGAGGAGCTGCTGCCCCTGGCCCAGCCCTGGGGCTCCGTGGGCAGGGCGTGCAGGGTGGGAGCCCAGAGCACGGCCAGGGCGCGAGGCCACCTCTGCCCAGGGCCCAGCTGAGGCATGCCAGAGAGCTCCAACCAAAGAGCCAAGGTGTGTACACCCACTTGCACATCGACCAGTTTGTATATATTTATTTGGCTATGTTCTACATAGATATCTATATATATATATTTATAACTTTGAAATGTTCTAGATTTGCTAAATAAATATGAAAGCAAAGGAAATGTTACTTGTACACGCTATTTGTTTGGCGGTCATAAAAAATATAGCATGTATTTCTCATGGTAGGTACTTTGCTACAGGATAGTGTGCAATAGTGGATTTTATTTATTTTTATTTTTATTTATTTTATACTTTAATTATTTTACTCTTTCAGAGCCTTGTTTGTAGTGCAGAATGCTACCATCAAATTATCTCATCTAAATAACAGTAAAAATTTCCATGCTATTGTTTTTATTTTTTCTCAATTTGGGTCTCTAGGTTATAGTGCAAAATACAAAATAAAAAAAAAAAAGGAGAACTGTATTAAAAAAAAACAACCCAAACCCACTGAGAAATTGCTCTAGCAACTCAGGAAAAAAATGGAGACTGAAATATTCCCTGCCTCCGTCTGAGGCTGTTGATGAACAAGACGGTCCAAAGCTATTTGTTCATGTAGTTCTCACAAATCACTGCTGGCTGGCCCATGTGGAGCTGTGATATGACTTCAATCTCCCATGCTTGCTCTTTCAGCAATAACTTGTTTCTTGAGCACTGTCATCTCAACACAACATTTATATTTAGTTTCCTAAATGTAAGAAACTGTTATGACGAAGGCATTTTTTTTGCTTTTGTAACTGGGCCATGTAATGTCATATGACTCTTAATGAAACCGTATTCTCATAAGAAATATTGTTCAAAATGTACCTTAGACTGCACCCAGAAATGGGAAAATGCCAAATCTACTTTCAATGACAAACTTTTAACACATTTAACTCTTTGACCTTTTGGCATAACATGAGAACAACAGTAATCAAGGCAGTATTAAAAACCACAGCTGTAGGTAATACAAAGTGCATTTCCTGCATATAATACAAATATAACTTTAAGAAACTAAAGGCACAAGCTAACTAAATATGTATTACATACTAGAAATGCACTGTTCAAGGTAACTCTAATAGCTCCAAATATTTGTTTATAATGGATATTTAAAGCAGTTTGAAAATGATCCTCATTAGTGAATTGCAAAAAAGTATAATTGCTTAAAATATAAGTAAAATAGACTCTAATATTGACATCTTGGATCAGTGATAAAATACATCATCACATTTATGAATGCACTCTCTATATACAATTCATAAATTATTCTTCCATTGATTAAAAGTGTATTAGAGGCTCAAGGATTTGAAGGTCCATTTTTAGGCTGGTGTGGAGGTATTCAAATTCTCCGTGATTTTATGGAAAATTACAGAAATCTGAGCTGTCCAATCTGGGTGTTGCCAGCTCCCTGTTCTGTACATTAGTTAATGATGAGCCTGATCACAATGTGTATGTGCAGATTTTGGTCCACAGGTCCCCCTGGCTGGGGACAGAGGAGGATTTCAGGGGCCAGGCTCCCACTCAGCCTGATCCTGCACCCCCAAAGCTGCGCTGGCTCCCAGGGGAGCAAAAGGAGTCTGGGAAGAGATGGTAATGGGCTGAGCTCAAACCCCAGCGAGGGGCTAAGATCTCAGCTGCCAATTCAGGCTCATCTCTAACTTGGGTACAGTCTGCTCCACTTGCCCAAAAACAAAGGAAAAAAGTAAACTGGGGGGAAAAAATACAGAAAGATAAAGAATGCACTTTGTTGGCTTCTGTAAATACGAGCACAAATGGTTTCAATATATTTACTACGTTTGTTCTGAAAGAAATGTGCAATAACTTCACTGTTATGGATACACAGGCTCTAAAACAAGACTCTAGATCCCTCTGGAAAGCTGCTTGCCTGTCCCCCCCTCCCTGTGTGCCTGGCCCACCTCCTGGAAATCAGGTCTTTTAAAAAATGACAAGGAGGAAGGATCACCTACTCTGCTATGAAGTAACTGTGCCAGTAGTGCATGTTACATTGGGAAATAAAAATTTCTGTCCATGCAATATAATGCTTTTCTATGTGCTCTAGATATTGAGCTGAAAAGTGAAGAGTCATCCCCGAAATGTTCTATGTTTATCAACATATTTACTACCCACACTTAGGTTCATCAACTCCCAACCCACCAATCTTCTTCAGACTCGAAAAAATGAGTACTACAACAGGATTATTAATCTGAGATGAAAAGAACGTGATGTCTAAACCAAACAACACTGCACCTTCCCAATCATTTCTGTGAAAACAAGTCCTGGCCCAGTGACTATGGACAGGACTGATGATGCATGGCCTGACACTGCTCTGTGAGGGCTCCTGGCTGGGGTGTCCCCAGAGCAGTGGGTTAAAGCCCAGCCTGGAGCACACATGCCAGTGGAGAGCCTCCTGAAGAATACCGTGCCCACTAAGCCCGCTTTAGCCACCCCATCTCTGGATGAAGCCTGGCCAGCATGGTGCCACTAAGCAGACTGGCAGCTCTGTGTGTGCTGCCAGGCCCTGGTCTATCCCAGTGCTGAGGAAAACCCTGGGAGAGAGGCTGGACACACATGGGTGGGCACAATATGATGTTCAGCATGGAGCCGCTGAGGGGTGGCTGCGGCCAAGCAAAGGCCATAGGAACATCCTTGTACGTACTGAATCCAACCCAAGTCAGATTTCCCAGGTTAGAAAATCCCTTCACTTTCAACTGTGAGGAACATGTGTGGGGTTGGTGAGCAGCTGCGAAGTTTCCATACACAGTCTGGTTTTTGTACGCAATCCCTTGAACTCACGGGAGATCTCACTGGGATAAAAAGAAACCCAGTAAATAAGGGCTGCAGAATCAGGCTCTGTAACCATTTAAATAACTGGTGAATTATTAAATCAACAACAACAAAAAACTTGTGTTTCTTTAGGAGAAGGCAGAGCACGTGGCACTCACCCCTACCCCTGGGGCTGTGCGGTGTCACCCTGGGCACCTCGCGCGCAGGTCGCGCTGCTCGGCTCGCAGGACTCTGCTTCTGAAATTTTTGAATACTGCCACACAAGAACTAAAAATTATCACTGTCATCTCTCAAAGAGTTAAACAAACGATATTAAAATACCATCTTCTGTCACATTTAAAGGCAGTTGGATATGTTTTTTCCTCTATATTTATATATACAGAGTTCTGATCTAGAAAAACCAATACAATAAACCATTTTACGTTTAAAAACAGGCAGTCTTTGGTGACGCAAAGGCAGAGATTTTCTTTGTTACCTTCTGCCTATTTCACTCTGTCTCATGAAGTGAATATTATTGGCACTGTCAGAAAGTTCGAGATACTGCTCCACAGATAAAACAAAATATCCATCGTAGCCTTGTACCCGCCCAGTGCTTAAAAGCTGCTGTTTCTCTCCATCTGTCCACGCCCGAATTCCTTCTTCCCCCTCCTGCAGCCGCCTCTGCTCCTTAGTCCAGGCCTGAGCCACGGCTCGCTGCCTGGCTATCTCCAGGACATGGTTCTTCTCCTCTTCCACGGTGGTTCCGTAGCGCACGTTGAAGCAGAGTGCGCCGTGCTGGAGCTGGATGTCGGCAAAGCGTCTAGTCCTGCCATTGATCACCGACGTCATCTGCGACACCGTCACGTTGACGCCGTTCTCCAGGATGCGACGCCCTCCGGTGCTGCCGATCAGCGCCAAATCTTCTTCCAAAGAGCCCAGCTTGATGAAGTAATGCGTGTCCCGGCCCTCAATGGTGAAATGCAGATTCTCCAGATAATGAGCGTTGTTGAGGATGGCAGCAATGCGCCGGCTGTCCTCGTTGGCCACCCCAATAATGTCAGCTGTCACTATACCGTCCTTTATAGCAAATTTGATGCCTTTTCCAAATACTGAAGGAACAGCTGCAAATCTCAGTTGCTTCACTCCTTCAGAACACTTGCCATCACTATACCTGGGTGTCATAGGAAGCTGGTCCAAGGATATAAAGTTGCGGAGTTGCTTTTGTAGCTCACATTGAATACCAAGGATAGTCTGGAAAAGAAAATATCAGTCAAGTTTGCAGGCAAGGTACCTTGAAGTTCATTATAGTATCTCATGCTACCCGTCTCTTAATTTCTTAGAATGGCTCTTCCATTTGTTTGGAAAGTATCATGCACCCCTACAGAACCTGGACATATGCACAGGCTTTTTAATCACTTACGGTAGGGCTTTCTGTCTCTTGGACTCCTTCATTTCTAGGAAACAAATGCAAATGTATTTATCACCAATGCTATTTTTATATTTGTTCTTTTTATTTTTCCTCCCCTTTGAACTGTTACTCTAATGGCTGTTTTTTCAGCCCTTAGCAGTTCAGGGAAACCTGAATTCAAAGCTATGCCCTTTCCTGTGGCTCTACTTAAGTCTCTCTGTGTTTAATTACATCTTCTGTAGAACTGTGGTAATGACTTTTATCACCCATTCTTTAAGGAAAGCAGGTTGTGAAGGTCTTGAGACACTAGAACAATAGGCAAGTACATCATATCTGTAGATCTTGCTCCCTGCAGAAGCTAGAAGAAACCTCACTCCAACTCCCTCTTTGTCTTTGAACACTATACCTATCACTACATCTTTTCTGTGCCATGGAAAAGATTAACATCTCAGTGATAATTTTCCATGGACATGCTTCACATCTGGCATGAGCTCTGACCCTCCAGCCTTCTGCACTTGGTGAATCCATTAGGTTAGGGTTAGGGACAGTGTCTTAAAGGCTGGGAACATGAATGTGAACTCTCAAATGCTCTATGCTTCTCTTTCCTGACTACAATAGAGGAAAGGCATCTTTACAAAATCATGTTTCTTTGTTAACAGATGCTCATATGCAGAATGTGAATGCCTGCTCAGAATATCGGCAGTTGGTCCTGATGCAGTCACATTGATTGCTGGACTCTGATAGCTGCTGTCTGGCTCTTTGTTACTGAAAACAAGCCCTGGAGTAAGGCTAAGATTTACAGACCCCTTACAAATCCATAGCAGCATTTCTGTTTCCTGCAATAATTATG